CACAAATTTGGCAGTGATAATGTACACAAAATCCCAAACTCCCCTTCAAATCCCCCAGAACTCCTCAGATTAAGAATAATAAAATTCAGTGATGAATACATAATTATTGGCATCACAATTTCCCACTGATTTTGGGAGGAAAACAAAAGCATATTGTTCTGACCCAAGCCTTGTTCAAATCAAACAAACACAAAGTATGTATAAAAACAAATCTTTTAATTCAGCGCTGTGAATTTTGTTCATTCATAGCCAAGAGTCATTCAAAACCAATTGTGCCAGATAGAGCAATCCCTTTCAAGGACGAGAACTCTGAGCATAAAGAACTTATTTGCTTCCTGCAAAGAAGCCAACCCCAAAGGCTGGCTTTTATCCCTTATGGGAGGGGCCATCGCCTTCCAGCCTTACTCCCGAGTCACCCATGCTGCTTCAGCTGCTCTTTTCTTCGAGCAGCCCTGTGCGCATGCGCACTGAGCACAGGCTCCCCGGGTCCCTCTGCTGTCAGACTCCACAACCTCTGAAGGCAGCACCCCACTCTCCGATAGTCCTGGCCCCATCCCTGCATCACATGCAGGCCCCTTGTCCGAGTCCTCGCTGTCAGAAACCTCAGCCATCCGCATCTGCTGCTGACGAACCACAACACATGTGAAAGACTTTAAATAGGCTTAGCACACCATCATAATATATAGTAAATATTAAATGTGGAACGTTATTGCTAACCACCTTATTCTTTACCACCAGAAGTGAAAGACTACATCCAATAAATGATCGCATTATTTTTAATTTATTTATTAAATTTTTATGCCACCCATTTCAATGATAACAGTGATTCTGGTGGGCTACGTGTCACTTTATGTGAAATGTTTACAATTCACTGTAAATAGTGAAAACAGTATTAATATTAATCCCTTATCTCCACGTATAACAGTAGATTTTTTAATTCTTAATTTTTGGAAGTAACTTGTAATGTTTTTATTATGTATATGTATGTGTGTATTAGAAAAAAACAGACACATTTCAAGTGTTCATTGGTTAACCACTTACTTACATGCTTTAGGCACCATTATCTTGGAAGTAGTAATACAAAATAAGGCAGAATAAGAGCTGCAGTGGCACAGTAGTTAGAATGCAGTATTGCAGGCTATTTCTGCTGATCACTGGCTGCCAGCAGTTTGCAGTTCGGGTCTGACCAGCTCAAGGTTGACTCAGCCTTTCATTCTTCCGAGGTAGGTAAAATGAGGACCCAGATTGTTGGGAGCAATATGCTGACTCTGTAAACCACTTAGAGAGGGCTATAAAAGCACTGTGAAGCGGTATATAAGTCTAAGTGCTATTGCTATTGCTAAAATGATCCATTGTTAAATAACTAACTCTTGTGGATTTATGTATGTTTTCAACTACTGACTAGTTTGGCAAATTAGTAGTGTATTACATTTTCAAAACTAACCATCTTTCTTTCCTGTATCTAAGTTAACATTTGAAACTGAGATAAGTTGGTTTGATCTTCTAGAGAAGATGTAGTAAAAAGTTATCCCTTGATACAAGTTTTCCTTTTAGAAATGCCTAACTGGGTTTCTAAAATATGACATGTTAAATGATCCTCGTTGTAAAGAAAAGTGCATTTGCAGGTTCCGATGTGACTGCCGCTATGCAGAGCCATTCTTTGCATGAGTATTTTGGGTCAGGCTGTGAATTTTTTTCCCTTTTCCTCTTTCCCACTAAAATCATTGAAATATATTCTGTCAGTCTTTCACATCAAAGGTGTAAATGGATTTCTTGAAAGGGTTTTTATTTTTTTTTTGAATGGTAAAAGGCAATCACTTCACAACTTCCACTCCATTATGGGCTGCATCACAGAGCTTAACATACCACCCCAACTTTGAGAATGCTCTGCTATTCAATGACCTTGCCTCTGCAAGGGCAGATGTTCAATTTGTGCAAAAAAAATGCTCTGCCACAGCATTTCTCTGTGTTGCATGTTTGACAGCACTTGCCCCAAAGCAGCCAAGTTGAAGTTTATAAACCGGATTTAATTTTTTTTTTCTTGTGCAAAGGGATAGAAATGAAATGATCCCTTTATATTTCCTTCTTTATTTAAAACATTACTAGTGTACGGTTATATCGCAGAAGCTACACAGATATCTCTATATTTACTGGGAAATGTATTTCAGTTTACTCATCTGGAAATATAGAGGACGAGTATAATTGGAGAATTTCTAAATCACCCTTATTCCAGAAATCGTGAGTGCTTCATCATGGGAGGTTTTTAAGAAGCAACTGGACAGTCACTTGTTTGAGGTGGTATAGGTTCTCCTTCTTGAGCAGGATGCTGGACTAGAAGATCTCCAAGGTCCCTTCCAGCTCTATTCTATTCTATTCTAATTTTCGACTGGTATCATCTGACCCCCAACAAAATATGCACATTCATTTAGCCTCTTCTACCTCTCTCTGTCTTTTCATGTAGTCGTGATATTACACCATAAAAATGGGTTGCAAAGAAAAAGTAAAATAGTTTTTACTCAAACAGTGCATATTTTAGAATATATTTATTTATACTTTCAACGAAATCTGTGCAACAAATTATTTTTCCAAAATTTTCATATTTTATCCCATGCACTTTTTAAATTACAGTTTTAACTTACAGTTAAATTTCATTTCTCTTTAAAAAAAATAAATGTGAAAAAGTGGACACTATTGTGTAGACCACAAGAACTTGAAGTTGGGCAATTGAAAAGGAAGCCCTATTCACTAGTGGAAGTGTGTTTGCTCAAGTTTGGGTTCCACTCTACTCTTCTGAGAAAGACTGTGCCTTCAAAGGAATCAGTCTTGTTTCCAGTTCATTATAAGATGTTACGATTAGGGAAATTAAAAATAAGAATCAATATGATCTAGAGATTGGAAATGCAGATTGAAATGGAAAGGCATTAAATTCATTATCACTTGATATAATCAAACTTTAGAAATTGTAGGGATAAAAGAGGAGGAAGGAAAACTTTTTTCCCATTGCTTCGAGATCCTTGGAGAAGGCAAAAGACAAAAAAAGTAGTATTCAAACAAATAAGGATGCTTACATACAGGAGTTGTGTTGAAAAGCAAGAACATGTTTAATGATTTCAGACTTATATAGCTGTAATTAATCATTTCAAAAGTATGTAAAATTCAATATGGTAAGTACCTAGTGCTAGTCAGATGCTCGCCATTCATAAGCCAGAGCATTAGAAAGTGCATTTCTTCTTGAGAAATTGGGGAAAATATTGTATTTTAAACTATTAATAAATAAGAATTTAAATTCAAGGTAACTGCAGTCTTCCTTCTTGAGGAATTAAAGATCCTTTTTATAGATCCTCAACTTAAGACATTTTAGCTTCATTTACAATCAAGAGTCTTGGGGTTGTATAAAAAAATAGCGGTTTTGTTTGTTTTAAGCATATAGTTCATCCTGCCTCAAAACCCCGTTGTGTCTGTCTATTTTTTATAAAATTTTATTTCACATTTCTAACAAGAACCCTCTGAATGGAAAAGTATAAAAGTTCTCTTTATGAAAGGATGGACTGAAAAATAGCAAACCAAGGTAAATCAGGAAAGAGTTGTTCGAGGTGGAATTCAAATGTAAATCAAAAGCTATGGATCACTTTAGAATAAAATAAAACTTTATTTTTAAAATTATAGCATAAATTATTGCACATTAGCATATTTATATTTAGAAAACTATATTTTATAACTGTTTAGGGAAAGTAGCCTTGAAGGGAAGAGCTGCTTATAGTACTGAATTAATATTCATTGAGTAACAAACTGCTTTTGTTAATTCATTATTAAGTACTGAGTGGGCAAAGAGAGAATTGACATTTGCTGATGTAAAGATGATGTTTGGCATGTTATCTCCCAGTCCTAAAATCTTGAGGCTTAAAATCTTGTCTTATGCCCAGTGATCAGCCTTAAACCTCTTTGCTGTCACTGAAGAAAACAAATCTTTTTCCTTCCTTTGCCTCAGGGATGCGGAGAGCTGAAGTGGTCCTGTGTGACTAAATTAGATGAAAGACTTGCCTTCCCACCATGGAGACACAGAGTCTAATCAAGTGAAATGAGTTCTGAGATACCAGCTCACTTCCTAGGGGATATCAGTTTACATTACAAAATCACACGACACCTAATTCATCACAGTTGATGCAGACTTTACTCAGGAGAGAGCCATAGTTCAGACAATAAGATAGTAAGCCACCTGTCCCTTTATGGTAGCGCCTGTTTATTAAGCATGGAAGGTTCTACAACTTGCATATTTATGGAGTGCATCTAAGAAGCAAAGAGATGTCTATGTTAGAAGTTGAAAAATTAATCTTGAAGACATAACTAACTTGCAGTTACTATAGATCATTCACAATTCCTTAATCTGTGTAGGAGTCTGAAATGTCCTTGCTCACAAAGATGTTAAATATAATAATGATGTTAAATATAATATACTATATAAACTTATATAACATCTATATAAAATGTTAAATATAATATACTATGTAAACTTGGTAAAAACTGGTATAATAAATTGATCTCTTCAAAAATACTGGAAGTATGGTATCTAACATTACAGGTCATAACTGGTTAAAAATTCTTGGGGTTGTAATCTCAACATTCCTGCAGGGTTTAACATTGGGGGACCTCTGCTGTATCTCAAATGATCCTGTTCTGTCATAGAATGACCTTATAAAAGTAAATGTCTAGATGTGGTGGGATTAAAAAAAAAATTACTACCAGTTCTGTGAGTGTGGCTTGGTGGGCGTGGCAGAGGAAGGAGACTGTAAAATCTCCAGTCAGAGGTAGTGTTTGCTGGTTCTCTGAACTACTCAAAATTTCTGCTACCGGTTCTCCAGAACTAGTCAGAACCTGCTGAATACCACCCCTGGTCTAGATACTTTGGAGGAGGTTTCCTGAGGTTTTCTGCATTGACATTTAATGTGGCAAAGAACAACATCTATTTATAACCAAATATGTTTTTTTTTAATTTCTTCCAGGGCATTGTTATAACTCCTTTGCTCCTACTGCTTTTTGTAAGTATCTTAATGTTGATTCTAGTTGAGATATTGTATTGCTGTTACTATTGCTCTATACTGTTCTATTGTAAATGAGTTGTTGCAGATTATTTTAAATGATGGAAGGATTTTGCATTTTTTCACTTTCTTTCTAAAGATGCATTGTAATTTCACCAAAACATTGCCAATGAACAATACATGTATTTTGTCTTACAGATTTGTTAGTGTAAGATATACTAACAACATGTTTTTAAGGCAGTAAAAATAAAAATGTCTCAAACATTGCTCATGACTACGTCATCTGAGTTAATAGTCTGTATGACTGATTTATAGATAGCACAGGAGCATGCAATTTAGTTTGGGCTAATGGACATCTTATAGTCTAAAGGAATACCATGAGTTTTTTCATAGAATGGTGATTAAGGGAAGGGAGAAGCTTCATAATTCACAAAAGAGCTTCTGTAACAGGCATTGCTACAGTAATTACAGAAGGCAGATTGATGTGGTTGCTTCCTTCTGTACTTTATAGCTTTCCTGTCCATCCCACCCAATTTCAATCGCTTTAGCTCAGGGGTGTCAAATTGGTGGCCCATGGGCCAGATGCGTCACTTGTAGGCCACGCCTATCCCAGCTCTGTGAAAAAAGATTGCAATATGTCACATGACAGCAACTTGACACCACTAATTTGACATCTGTGATTTAGCTTATATACATTTTTGCTAAGGGATGGTGCATCCTTCCAAATAAAACAATTATCCTATGTCTATCTACCATTTTTGTTTTCTAGAAATTCCTTTGGGGTAGTGTTCTTGAAAATAAACATAATGTAAAAAGTATAATATTTCAGCTTGCTAGTCTTTTTTTTCACTAATAAAATGGTGTTTTCCAAGGGCACGTTGGAGCTTATCCCTGGACCAAAAAGCTGGTCAAGAAAATTATTGCAGTTCTGTAGTACGAATTCCAGTTAAGATCTAAAAACTCCTACAAAAAAGTTACCTCTGTATCCTTGGGCAAAATGTCCTCAATGAGGTGTCTTGTCTGCCAACTCACTTAGCTTTGGGCTAAAACCACATTTCTGGTTGGGGAGAGTAAGACTGGTGAAGACTGATGATCTGTATCTTTGCTGTTGTCACTGCTTAAACACAAGGGAAGAGGAAAGGGGGAAAATACAATATGGACCTTTGCAAGTGCAAATGAAGGTTGGCTCCAAATATTGGAATAGCAGAGAATCTGAATAGCAGAGAATTCCTCTGACAATCCTAAAGAGAAGAATGACTTTATCCATGTCAACCGAATCTTGTAAGGTAAATGAGAGATTTTGTCCCTATTCAGGCTTATTGTCCAAAATGTTGGGCTATAAGCCTTCAGAGCAAGATTGGTTTTGCTCTTTTTATTTAGTGAGTCTAAAAGTTTTATTTTATGTTCTTTGAAAGTTGTTCATTGTGATTCCAAAAGAGAGATCTTACAGGAATGCTTAATAATATATTTAATTTTCCTGGAAGAAGTGTTTAAACTTTGCCAGAGTAACTTGCTCATTTCCTGTTTAGTTTTTTTTCTTATTAAAAAGCTTATAATGAAGCCTAAAGTTCAAGGTGATATTGCAGAGTTAAGCTAAAACTTGTTCCCCATCAAAACCCTCACAGCCTCCAGGCACCGGGTTAAGACAGTCATGGAATTGATTAATTAATTCACGAAGGCCAGAGATGTATAATTGGCTATCATCAACATACTGATGGACTTGGTGCGTGGTGATCAGGGAGTTCACTCAACTGCTTCATGTATATGTTGAATAGGAGAGGGAAGACTACCAAACCCTGCAGCTTCTCATATAGTATATATACAGTACCAGAATGTAAGTATGCAGATAGTCCTCAACTTATAAATGACTATAGTTAGAAACAGAATTGTTAAGTAAATCACCGCAATTGTTAAGTGAATCAGACAGTTATTAAGCAAATCTGGCTTCCTTCATGGACTTTGTCAAAAGCTGGCTTGAAAGGTTGTGAGTGGCAATCACATGACTCCAAGATACTATGATCATGTTGTCAAGTGCCCAAATTTTGATCTATTGACCATTGGGATGTTACAACAGTCCTAAGTATGGAACTGGGCAAAAGTCACTTTTTCAGAATCGTTGTAACTTAAAAACAGTCATTAAGCAAATAGTTTTAAGTCAAGAACTACCTGTATGCTTCTTGATCCCTTGTACTGGATTCTTACTACTGGTGGAAATGATTAAACAAAACTGACAACTCATGGCATCCAAGGAGTTCACCCACTGCTTCATGTGTATGTTGAATAGGAAAGGGGAGAGCACCAAACCCTACATGGTTTCTAGTTAAACAGAATCATACAACATTTTAAAAATGGTTTCTGAATGTGATTATTTTAATGAGAAATTAGAATCCTTACTATAGTGACATAAGAAAATACCTTGTTAGGAATGTAAGTCACCTAACAGTTGGGTTGGAAATATATAAACCAGGATAGACATTTTAATACTGTCTCTTTAAGGGAATGCTAAAAATTGTAATTGGGTGTCGTTCCTCAAACGGCCATAAGATGGAGCCAGTAACCTGGTTTCCCATAGAGTGTTGCTAGTTGGTCGATGTTCTGATGTTCGCTGTTTTTGGTTCCTGCATTTTCCCTATTGACTGTTGCTGATCGTCGTTATTCTTGGATTGATGTGAGTCTATTACTGAACTGTTTTCGATACTGAACTTTGTTATTGGATTATCCCTGGACTGAAAACTGACTGCTATAACCATGTATGACTTGGACTGTTTGTTGGACTTTGCTTAACCGTTTACTGGAAGTAAAACCTACATTTTACTGTACAGTGTAGTTGTGTGCTGTGTGTGTGTTATTCAACATTACTCTCACTACATCTCCCTGTGTGCACTCATTCTCCTAACGGGGAATTACCTCAGCACTGGTTATGGGCCCAGTCCATACCAGGCTCAGATAACTGAGAGTTAGTGTGAATGCACAGTACCGTATACAGACAGCTGTTTACTGTTTAATTGTGGTTTACTGTCCTGGTAAAGATGGCAGAAGACCTGTCAACAAGTCTATCATTGATAACCCTGTTGGACGGAACAAACTATGTTTCCTGGTCTATGAAGTGCAATCTACTTCTGCATAGAGAAGGGTTATGGAATGCAGTTCCACCAGATGTAAATGCTTGGGATCCAGATGATGAGGATGATGCCAAGAAGCTTGCTGACTTTAAACAGAACAACGAACGAGCTCTTTGTATAATTGGATTAACACTGAGTGACCAGCAGCTAGTCCATATTCGTGGAGAAGAGTCTGCTGCTAGGTGTTGGGAGAATTTGAAGAGGATTTATGTTCATGACAGTGTAGGTGCACACATACATCTTACACGTAAACTGTTTAGAGCATGTCTTCTGAAAGGTGGAGATATGTTAGCTCATTTGAACTTCATGAAAAGAATTTTTCAAGAGCTAGATGAAAAAGAACTTATATTTTCAGAGCTGCATCAAGTTTACATCATTCTTTCCTCGTTGGATGAGAGTTATGATGATTACGTATCTTCACTAGAAGTTCTGACCAGAGATGAACTGACATTGACTGACATAACTGGAAGGTTGTAAGAAGAAGCAAGAAGACGGCTGGATAGGGACCAACTGAGAAAGGAACAACCACAAGAAGAGGATTTGTGTTCAACTGCCTATACTGTTAGGAAATGTTTTTCTTGTGGGGCTAGGGAACATATAGCTAAATTCTGTAAGAAGAGAAAACAACAAAATACTGGTAATCACCAGAAGGCCAAGAAGAATGTTAATTTAGCTATGTCTAGCAATTCAACTGTAAATCATGATTTGTGGGTTGTTGATAGTGGAGCATCACAGTGCATTATTAGAAATAGAGAGAGGTTTGTAACGATGTCCACTAGTAAGCAACGTGTATCATTGGAAAATGGATGGAAGATGAAAATATCTGGTGAAGGTACTGCATATTGTTCATGTGTAAATGAGCATTTATCTATGTTATATGTACCTAAACTGAAATTTAATTTGTTATCAGTAAGGGCTTTAGTTAGTATTGGTTATGTAGTAACCTTTAGGGGAGATAACTGTATAATAGAGAAAGAGGGTAAAAGTGTTACTGCTACTTTAGAGAATGATTTATATGTGATACATGATGACCAGTTGCAAATGGCTAACTTGGTTTATAACAATGTTAAGCCTCATGACGAAAGTATACATTCACTACATAGACGTCTGGGGCACATTAATTTCAAAATGCTTAAACAAACTGTCAAATTGTCAGAGAGAGTAAAATTAAAACCCTGTAGTAAGTACTTAAACTGTAATGCCTGTAAACAGGAGAAAAGCAAGGTTACTCCAGCAAACAGACTTAATGGGTTTAAGACCAAAGAACCTTTAGAGGTTGTGTTTGCTGACATAATTGGTCCTAAGAAACCCAGTTTGGGAGGTGCCTGCTATGTTTTGAGTATAATGGACCATTACTCACGGTATGGTTTCTGCTATCTCATGAAAAACAAAACAGAAACATTCCAACATTTCTTTAATTGGCTAAGGTTTGCAGAGAGAAAAATGAAACAAAGGGTAATTACTTTAGTTACTGATAATGGGGCTGAGTTTATTAACAATAGATTCCAAATTATATTAAAATGGGCTGGTGTCAAGCATAAACATTCTGCACCTTACAGACCACAACATAACTCGTTTGTAGAACGAAGAGGGCAAACGTTACAAGCCATGGCTCGCACTATATTATCTGATTCAGGTTTGCCAGAAACACTGTGGGGTGAGGCCATAATGTGTAGCAACCATGTGTTGAACAATGTAGTGAACACAACAACTGGTGAATTGCCATTCACTCATTGGCCTGGCAGAAAACCAAAGTTATCTACACGCATTTGGAGCTCCAGCATGGGTGCATATTCCCTTACAAGTAAGACTGAAAGGGCAACATAGAGCTAGGAAATTATTTTTCGTAGGTTACGAGGCCAACCATAGATCGTTTAG